ATTAATTCAATAGGGAGAGATAAACAGTGAGTATAATTGTGGTTTATTAGACTGTTCTCCTAATACGATTACTACTACCACTACTATTATTATTATTATGGTTGTTACTATTACTTCTAATATATACATAAATATATGGACTGAGATAGATAGATAGATATGCTACATCATCCATCATTCCCTTTATCAGGATAATTAATTTTATTGCCTTCAATTGTTTTTTCTTGTTGTTGTCTTTTTGTATTGTTGTTATCATCAGTGTGTAGAGCTGTTTAATTCACAGAAAAAAAAACTAACTAATATTAGTTTACTCCTTTCTGTCTTCCATAGATTCTATTAACTATTTAAATATTAACTTGGCAAAGTGTTCAACGTTGTCCATTCCATTTATCTTTAAACAATTGATATCTTCTCTGTTAATCATTCTTTAACAAACATCCATTCTTCTTCTTCTTCTTCTCAACTTGTTTCATTGAAGCACTTTGTGGATGATGACATTTACTAAGAAGTGTGTAAAAGAGGATAGATAGTCACGTCTTCTGACAGATTCTAGAACATAGATAGGCATTCCTACCAGCGTTCAACAATCATTATATTTCTTGACCCAAATGCGGCCGTCATTCGATTCTATCGACTGGGAGGTTCTCTGACGATGCTTGACTGTAAAGGGAATTCCGAGAAAATACATTGCACTGATTAAGGCACTCAATCTACTCGAACTCATGCAGTCAGCCAGGTGAGGGCTTGCAGTGAGTTGTCATCTGAACTGGTGACAACTAGTGGTGTCCGTTAAGGATGCCCATTATCCCAATTACTATTCAACTGCATCATAGATATTGTACTAATTGACTTAACCCTAACTCACTTCAGCGACTCAGGGATTGACTTGTTACCAGAAAAGGAATAATCTCGTTGACTTAGAATATGCAGACGATATAGTCCTTCTAGGCGAGGACGCTGACAAAATACAGCAGAGTCTTCTAAACACCTTGAGCTGCAGTCTACGAATGTTTGGCATGCGATTCGCTCCTGCCAAATGCAAGATGATGTTACAGGACTGGACTACACCGACTCCTAGATTAGAAATAGGAAGTGAAGTGGTAGAGCACGTTGACCGCTTCACTGACGAAATCTCAGCATGGATACAGAGGGCTAGTTTGCATATGCCAGTTTACGCCGTCTCTGGCTTAGTAGACGTGATATCCGGCTGGCTTTCGACCAAAGGACAGTTGTACTGGTCATCAGTCCCCTCCGTCCTCCTTTATGGCTAGCTGTGAGACCTGGCCACTGAGAGTGGAAGACATGAAAAGATTAGCTATATTCGATCATAGGTCTTTACGTTCTGTTTCCCATGTGAAGTGGTATAATAAGGTGAGCAACATCGAGGTTAGACGTCGGTCGAGTGCTAGGTAAGGAGGGGAAATCAATCGACGAAGCTCTGAAGTTACATAGACTGAGATGGTTAGGACATGTGTTACGTATGCCTAGTCATCGCCTTCCTCGACAATGGGCAATGTTAGCTGACATAGGGTCAGGCTGGAAAAGAGCTAGCGGAGGTCAAACAAAAACACGGTTTCACCAGTCAATGAAATCCACAACAGTTAGTTTAAGCTAGTCACGTAGGAAGGTGTAGACTTCCAGGTTGGGGTTCTCGGGACGGTGAAAACCAATGCCTAGAAACAATTGGTGATATGGCTCAAAATCGTTCTAAATGACTAGCTCAGATGCATCCACTCATTGTAACTTATGATTTCCAATGAAACTGTTTTGTTCTTCGTTACTTCTATTCCTTCGTCTTACACCTGTGTTTACTGTCTCTATTATGCATTTCTTCAACTTTCTTGTGTTGCTTTGTGTGCTACATGGAGGGAGTGTGGCGACTTGAACTGCTGCAAATCGGTGTAAAGTTCTATGTCGGAAACAGGCAGACAGACTTGTTTAAAGTTGTGCTGTTGTGCTTTCATTTGACCACAGACCGACCCTCCTTTGGAAGCGACTACTTCAATCTGATTATATATGGCCTAATAATTTTAGGGTCATGTTCGCATGAAAAGCGTTTACTGTGTAAACCTCCAATCTTCGCACTGTAAATTGAGGCGACGGTGGGGGCTTCAACTTTTCTAAAATCCCTATCGCTTTAGCCATAGAGAAGGGGTAGCATACTTGGCTTCCTAGTCGTTTGAGACAAAATGATGCCTAAATTAAATAAATTATCGAACATTTTTGTCCTATTTTAATTTATCAGACAGCGAACGAATCAGTCAATGATATGCACTGATATATTGTTGAATATAAAGTATTGATTTTCAGGGATTTGATTGGTTACATGTTTGATCATGAGTTGACCCCCTAGGGGTTCCAAGTCTATGTATACATATACAGTGAATAGGCAGAAGTGTGAATTTATCGGTTAGCCATTGAATTGGATCCCAGTGACTGAATGGTCTACAAGCTTGCCTTGTAACCAGAAGCTTGCCTTGTAACCACATTATTAGTGACAGCCTTTGAAATACGGAATTCTTATTCGTCAGATAGATGTAAAGACAACTACTCTTTCATCAAGTAACATGAATGCTTTATGTCCCTGTATTGCAGATCAAGATGGGTTAGACATTATGACTGTTATGAATTCCAACCTTTTAGATAAGTGTCAGTGTGTGGTGGTAGTCACCTTAATAGTTTTAAGTCTCCTAAAAATGATTTTATGTTGACATATGGTTGACCATTGCTGAACAAAATTTAGAAGTGAAAGGAAGCATCTGTTAAGGTTCATCGATTTTTTTCTTTATTTCTTTCTTTCTGATGTCACTTCCTGTTGAAATTTACATTGAACTTTAATGATTTTACCACCACTATTACTAATATTAATAATTATATATATATATATATATATATATATATATATATATATATATATAAATATAAATCTGTAATGACTATTTTTACGAGTTGATCACAGATTGATATCAGTTAAACAACTATTGGAACCAGGGAGTATTAGACATCTGTTTCATTCTAGTTTGGGAATCAGCACCCACCGTGGTTCGAACCCAGGACCTTCCGGTTACAAGTCAAGTTAGCTCGTATACCATTCAACCACTGGGACACGATTCAGTGGCCAACACATGAATTCTAACTTCTACCGATTCGTGATGCATTTGGCGCGACTGGCACCAACCAATGTCATCGTTGGGAAATCCATCCTCACAGTTGACTGGATGAACCTCACTGGTCACAACTTTTCACTAGAACTCCAGGAAACACCGTCCCTTTAGCCAGTCACTGGCGATTAATCTTCAATAGTTGGTTTGTAAGGATTCGATTTATTTTTACGAGTTGATTACAGATTAGATATCAGTAATGACTATTACTGACTCAGTAGAACAACGAAAATATAGTTTTATTATTACAATCTACATTTATAGCTGTATTCTGAAAAGTGAATTTATACACAATATAGAATTTTCAGCGAATTTCATAGCAGGCTAATTACTACTTAAACAAAATTTTCAAATAATCTATAATACATCGTCTGAAGCAATATCGTGCTGCCTGAAGCATATCCTAATACTACTGTCTGCATAATGTTCTCCCATTTTTTTCGAAAATTTTCTAGCGATAGGTAGAAACTTATTTAAAATTTCGCGCAAGAATAGATTGTGTCTAATTGTGGGGTAATTATTAAGTGATTAAAACAAATATTCAAGGAACGTAGTCAATACAACAGTGCATTTTGATTGGTAGAAAATTTTGAGTATCCCAGGTGGGGAGGACCATTGGAAAACCTGCAGGGAGTACTGGACAGCTGTTTCGTCCTGCTTCTGGACTCTTCAACAGTACGCGCCCACTGAGGTTACAAGGAAAACTCGTAGACCATTAAATCACTCAGACCTGATGCAGTACTTCCAGGTTTTCCAATGGTTCTCTGATCGAGGTCAGTTCATGATGAAATCCTGAAACCAATCAAATCCCTGCAAACTAACACTTGAATATCAATCTGATGCTCATTAGCGACTGACCCTATTCAGATAGGTAGTCACCTGGGTTCTAGTGGGAGGTCGTGACCAGTGGGGTACAACAGGTTGGGGTGTGAGGATAAATACTCGCCACCGATGACATTGTTTTAGTGGTCGCGCTATATCCTTGGTAAAAGGTGGAATTCATGGATTGGTCATTGGATAGGAGCCTTGTTGAATTAATGGTCCTTGGTTCGAACCCTCGCGGTGGGTACGTACTGTGAAGAGTCTTAAACTAGAACGAAACAGTTGTTCACTAATGTCAGGTTTTCCAATGGTTCTCTTCTAACCGATGTCAGTTCATGTTGAAATTCTGAAACCAATTAAAATCTTTGCAAACTAACATTTGGGTAGTGAGAGTGATGATAATAGTAAATGTAAATTGTTTTCACTTTTGAACACTATAGATAATTATTGTTTACTTACTAATATGTTGTTGATGTCAATGATTTTCAACACTGACCTACTTCTTAAAAATCACACCATCTGTTCAATAATTTTTGATCTGATTGTGCAAGTATCGATACTTATCATTTCGGTTTCTTCTTATTCACTTTTTCTGCAATATTCTTGACTACCCTCTTACTTTATCGATAGCGGATCTTTAGATAGAAAAATGATTTCTCAACCGCGAATTACATCATAAGCTGAAAACAGTAAAAAAAAGAAAGAAAAGAGGACTGTTTAGAACTGGTAAGTTTGCGTCTTTATACAATCTGTCAGCCCCAGTGTCAACCGAAAAAATCACCATAGAGATATCTCATCGTCATGATGGTTAGACTTTCAGACAACGAGATTAGTTATAGCCAGCCAGCCAGCCAGCCAGCTAGCTAACTTCCAAAAGTTACTTTTTGTGTCAATTTAAAGGATATCTATATCTATATGTATACATGTTTGTACATGTTTTCATTTTGTTTTACCGAAGTTATGATCTGAGCATGTTTTCTTTTTCTCTTTCTCTCTCGCTTGTCTGTGCTATCATAGATCCCAAAGATATTCGACTTGTTCGGTAGAAATGGTGGAGCATCTTCGTGTAAGTCACCTTGTGTTTATCTTGTCATTCTCGTGTTTTTGGTACATTACACTGAAACACTTAAATAGATGTGTGTATAATAATTATAAACTAACACTAATGCATTTTAACTGTTTCACGCACCCCTTCCCCCCCACCACTTTTATCATTATTCTTTTCACTTCAAGAATGTATATGTGTATACTAAGTATACACAAGGATGTAAAGAATGTTTATAGTGTTGTTAGACAAGCTTGGTGTTCAGAGACAGGACAAAGATCCTTTTCAATTTATTAATCCATTAATGAGTTCATTTATTTTAAAAGTGTTGAACTAATAATAGTAATAGGTAGTCACATATATAGTAAATACTAATGAAAAGATCAAAGTTTACTCATAGTAAAGTAAGAAAATTACTCAAAAAGTGAGCAAAAAAAATCAGATGTGTAAATCTTAACTATTTTTCAATAAGTGAGGAGTTATATAGTGCAATCTAGGGGTAAACCAAAAAAAGAAATAGTAAAGCTGTGATTGTCATCATCATCATATGAAATCGATGTCTTCCTTCTGTTGAAAGTCAATTAACTCATTGCCTGTTCTGGCTGGCATTCATTCATTAGTATTTCTTTATGAGTTATCAAACTAAGCGTTAATTGTTCCCCCCGCCCCCCTGAAACTTGTTCGATCATTCTTATTCTCCATACGGATCAGAGACTTGGCCAGCGCGTCATAAAGAGCACATAAAACAAACTATAGACCTTCATTAACAGCTGTCTCTGCTCAGTACCACTCAAGATCAGATGGGCGGCCAAAAAAGATCAGCAATAGGGATCTCAGAAACCGATTGTCCAACAAATAAGCAGGAAGGAATGGAGATGGATTGGCTGGCCATACTCTGAGAAAACAGACCATCAAGTGAATGACATCACTAGACAATCCATCGCTCGAGTGGAACCCGGAAGGGAAGCGGCGAGTTGGTCGTCAGTGTGAGGGTGACATGGAGGAGGAAGTCATACGAAGAAGAGGTGAAAGCATGTAGGAGGACTTTAAGCCAGGTGAAAACATTGGCAGAGAACCGAACGCAATGGAGACGTGTGGCTGAAGCCCTATGTTCCTCTAGGAATTAAAGGAAATAATGATAATAATACCTAAAAGACCTACCTACCTACCTACTAGCGAAAATTAGCAATTTTGCAGATGACGCCGTCTGCGAAGACAAAACTTTAAGTAAACCTTAGAGAACATAGAGGTAGTGAAGATACTTAACCATCACCACCAACAACAAAAACAATCATCAGTCACTATCAACGGGAGGAGCTTGAAGGGAATTACTTCTATCACTTTTTTTACTCAGCATCTTTTCAGCTACAAGCAGTTGGCACGGATGAAGATGTCAAAGTGCTAGCCAGGATCAGAAAGTCAAGGCAGAACTTCATGACTCTGAAATCACTTCATAAATCTACTACATTCAGCATAAGGAACAAATTCGAACTCTCATTACCAATGTTGTAACGACAGAAGACAAGGACAAGGCAACAGATCGTTTATGTGCATTATTATTATTATCGGAGAAGCAGTGTCTACTGATTTGCTGTTTCCTTGCTGAAGGTTATTTCGTATTGCTTGTGACCGTCTCTCAGAGAGTTGGGCCATATATCTGCAAATCGTATTTTCTTACGTTAAGTCCTCTGTGATTGGTTGGTGAGTCCTTCAAGGTTAAGCTTTGCTGATGTTGCTGTTTTTCCCATAACCCCGATTCGGGAAGTAACATCGATATAAATTACTGTCTACAATTTTCGGCTTACAGCAAGCTCCCACTACAATGTCATGTCCACCAGTTCTGTTATATGGCTCATAGACTTGGAGCGTCACGAAGAGCATTCCTAACAGGCTTCAAATTTGTTTTTCATGAACAGCTGTCTTCCCTGGCTTATCGAAAAGGATTATCAACCAAACAAGAACCTATTCACCGAAGAAAATGTTAGACAATGTGTCAAATGGAATATTTAAAATATTCTCACAGTTCAATAGTGCATTATCAACAGAATACCATGTATATGTGTGTGAACACTCTACTTCATGTCGTTTAATATAAACCGAAATGCTACGCTCAGTGATTGGATAAGGACTATAAAACTCTATAGATATAAATAGCGGTCTGATCAATTTAAATTATACGTTTTGCTGCAGTGTCTTGCCTTTTGCTGTCTACCGACAAATGAAAAGCTTATGCCTTGCAGTTTTTAAAGAAGGAGATATATACATCTTCTTGCTGGACTCCGAAGCTGTCGGAAAGTTGAATGGTGTTCAAGATCTGTCAGCAATGAAGCCGTTACTTGGAATACTGCTAAGAGATCGGGCGAAGGCAGAGTAGGCTAGTGGGAGGCGAAACCCCCAATGCGAATACTTACCAGCGCTACACAAACTGCTTCCAATGTGGCTGTGAACATACACAATCACCATGAGATCCGGTCACATATCCACGATCAGAAAGATAAACAAAGAGAAGTGGATGAACGTCATTGAGCTGCGGAACTGGATACAGCAAGTCAATCAAACAAAGTCACTAGCACTAAGAAGACCGAACTGCCTTTAGTCGAAAGTATTTGACCGGGGGGGGGGCGGGAGGACAATTGTGGTGGTGTGATACAGACAATGTGTGTCAAGGAAATATTATTCTCACTTATTACCACATTTCAATACTCCATTAGCAACATTCTATTTCATGTTGTTTAATGTAAACCAAAGTCATACGCTGTTTGATCAGTTGAAAATATACCTTGGCTTCTGCTGGTGCAGTACTCCTATTACTTCATTTTATGCATTAGGTCGCACAGTTTAACAAGCAAATATGAAGTAATTTTTTCAGTATCATTTGACCTCATCGTATATATATATATATATTCTCCATCTATCTGATGTGAAAAAAGCAGAATAGATTTTCACACAGAAGTAACAAGAAACCCAATAAAATAACCACCTTGAAGTAAAACAAAAGTTAAAATATATAGCAAAAATAAATAAAGTGTTGTATTTTATGTCCTCATGTCCCTTCTCACCTCATTATGAATGATGAAATTTACTTGGTCTTCAGTAATGCTAGAATAATTATGCATCTTATAACATAGCTTTCTATGCATTTGTCAATAATCTGTACGAGATAAATAAATCATTGATATTTCTTCTTCTTCGTATTATTATTATTATTATATATACATAATAGTAATTGTGGTTTAATGAGATGCATCTATGCTTATCCCTTGGTGTTCATCTAATTATGTGTGTTTGTGAGTGTGGTTGGGTGGGAAGGTCAATGACTGTGTAAATGAGAAACAGTGCCAATAAGAGGAGAATTGGACAAAGTGAACGTATATGGTTGTGAATATAAAGTCAAACAAAGATGAACCTTAATAAGAGAAATTATCAATTATTATTACTTTTGTGCATGCGTCTGTGTGTCTGTGTGTGCGTTTGTGTGTGTTTCCCCCTCCCCCACACATCCTGTTTGTGCTGAAAGTTCATGTACGTACCTCATTATTATGTCATTCTTAATTATTACTATAATAAGTTCTGGTTACTTTGTTATCAGCATTATTTTTATTATTATTATTGTTTCTATTAATGACTTTGTAATTTGTCATTTATTCACTCTTAATTATGTAATTTAGGCTGTTTGTATGTATGTATGCATGTGTGTGTGTGTGCAGTCATCACTAAAAGGTGGTTGGTTACCTTTGTTGTTTGTGCTTACGTTTCTCCTCTCATCTGTATATTTTCTCCCGTCAACAACAAGTCAATATCTACAACCACTAACTCTGTAAAAGACTAGTAATTCCAATGCTCCTAGGTAGACAGACTGTCATCATCTTCTTCGTTGAGTAATGCGTGGTCGAATCAACACAATAACAGCAATTTGTGTAGTCTATTGTGGCGTATATTACTGATAAGATTTATCAGTAGTATGTATTAAGAGACGTTCATCAGCATAAAAACATTAAATAGTAGACAGACAGATTTAATGTCCGAGATAGTAAATGAAAAAAACATTGTGGAGATACACGGAAGACATGAAAGGAACACAAAAAAAACACAGTAAGAAGGAAGACCTGAAGTATCACAACAGCATGGAAGATCTGTACAAATGCTGCCGTGCGTTGAAGATAAGGTGCATATAATTTAGCTATACAGAGATACTAAATTGCAAAAAAAACATTCCGTTACCAAGTCTCTTGTCTTCTATCGTTACACTATAACTGTTGGTTTCCACCGTATAAGCGAGGTGGCGTAGACTGTCTTCCTGAAGTGAATCGAAACACTTAGGATTCAATAGCTTGAAAATGTTGGTGATATAACTTAAAATCGTTCATTCTTTGTAATCTCCGAAAAGTCATTTACCGTAAACCAACTAATCTTAACATCATCTTAAGAGTTCATCTACTGCATGTTGCTGAAGCTGGAATCTACATTAAGAAACCTAACTTATGTATTCAAAAAAAAGTTGGTTCAGACACTGTTCTTATCCTCCTGGCCATCAAGGCTCGAATAATCCTCAATACGTTGTGGAAATTTCCTTAATTTTAGTTGATATTCTATTTGCTATTACATTTTTATGCTTATTATAATTTATGCACCTTTCGTAAACTGTAATTCCATTGATCTTACTTAACAAATTGAAAGTATTTAAATAAACACCAATATTGTTAATGAAGACTATTCTAGAATATCTGTGTACACAAACATATATATATATATATATATATATATAAGTGTAGATGCATGACAACGGCACATGTCAAGTGATCTTCACAACGGAAAACTCAGCGAGGCGTTCGGAGTAAACACAGGAATCAAACAAGGGTGTTTATTATCACTTTCAATGATATTCCTAATTGTGGTGTTTTGACTGGATTATGCGTCAGACAGTGAGAAACGAGAAGACAGGGATATCTTTTCTGGACCGACGCGAAGGTTCTAGAAGACCTTGATTTCGCGCGCGGATGATTTCTGTTTGATGTCACACA